AGGAGAGGATGTTCTTTAATTTGGAGAGCTTTCCTCTTACTTCCTGTTGTAGCTTGAGAGAGGAAGTGAAGAAAAAAACCCTCCAATGCAACCCTTCTATACATATCTATTTAAAACTATAAAATAAATACTGGCTTTAGATATACTTTATGGAGAATCCATTATGGAAGTATAGCACCATCCTTTGGCATATAACTGTCATTGGTTGCATGTAATGCACTTTAATGTTCTGATATTCCAGATGTTTTTCAGCTTTTTTTGTCATGGTGATCATGATTTTCAGGCATTCTCTGTATTTATAAAACGTACAAAACCAAAATCAGTAGGGGTTTATAAATATAACTCATAGAATAAGCAAACCATGTAAAGATAACAGATTTAAGTATTTAAGTGGGGAAAATATTTACTTTAAATGAACAAAGTCCATAAGAATGACCAAGCCCATATAGTGTGGGGGGTTTATGTATAATATTGAAGGTAATGCTGAGTGATCAATAACTGTAATTGTATGGATTATGAAATATTACATATTAATTATTGATGTAACAGTTAATGGAGGTCAGTATTGAAATGGAAGCTGTTTTTTTTTCTTCACTCTGGCTGTTAGAAGAACCTTTTAACTAGTTTGACAACTTATAAGCAAAACAGATCTTAAAAAAAACAAAAAAAAACCCAACCCATGCTTTTACATGATGAAATGAAATCTACAGCATCCAATGTGCTATTTTTACACTTCGATTATGCTGCAGTTTGGTATAGCCAGGAACTAAAAAGCATAATAAGGAGGAAAATGTGCATTGAATTACAGCAGACTCTGGCGAACTCAGGCTAATATGATATTCCCAACATTGATAAATTTGATCCTAAAAATCTATTTAAATGTCAAGTTTGGGCAGAGTTTGTCTTTAATATTCTTTTTCAATTGGCAACAAATGGTCTGCACTGCAATCTTGTAACTCTGCCGTCTGCACTTTATAATACGTGTTTCTATTTGCATAAACTATTTTCTTTCAAGGTCAACACATAATTCAGCATGCAAATGTATCTCCTTCCTGTGTTTGGCTAAGGTACATGATATACAGATGCAGCCATCAGAATGGAAATCATGTACTAGTCAAGAGACTGCATAACGTCCTTTGATTTGTTTTTTTAAAGCTGAACTCCAGGGGAACTTAAAAATTGCCCTTGTAGTGGGACTTTACCTGCATTGCAAGGGTTCAATGCTCATTTATGTCTGTTTATTGGCTCACCTGGCAGCCAATGCTCTCCTCTTCCTTCTGACACTCTAGGTTGTGGGCGGGTGCTCGGCGTCCTCATTTTAAAAAAAACATTCTTGCTGATGTTTAGAGGAAGTATGTGACACTGCAGCTGTCACACGCCGGCTCTTAGACCGAGAGCTGACCAATCATGTGAGCAGTGAACAGTCAGCTCTCGATCTTTGCTCCCACTCGGCTGTCAGTCACTTCCCCCTGCAAGGATTCTTCCTCTCCTCTCTGCTCCTCTAGCACTGGCTGGAGGTATAGGCCGGGGAGGGGGCAGACAGGCACAGCTGGCTCTTAGCCGCATGCAGAAAGGCAAAGCCAGTTGTTAAGTTAGGCAGCCAGACAATATTGTTTGAATCCTTCTTGACTGTGCCGTGGTCCTGTCCAGTCAGCTAATAGAGGGCATTACACTACTATAAGCTAACTTTGGGTCACAGAGTACATTAGTAAAGGTACTCCTGTGACCCAAAATAGAAGTAAAGCCAAAAAAAGGTTTAGCTTTACTTCTCTTTTAAAACGCAGGACTGCTGGTCCTGCATTGTACATTATAGTGTCAAAGTGCAAGTGATGGACGCTCTGTCATAGAGAAGCAGCTTTGGAGGGCCAGTTGCTCGGAGAACGATGGATAAGTAAGTATCACTTCTTTCTAATACTACCCTAGATGAAAATGAGCATTTAACCCTTGCAGTGAAGTGGGAGCCCACTACAAGGGCAGGAGGTCCCCACTGCCAGGGTGCTTTTTAAATTTCTCTGGAGTTTAGATTTATGTTTTTATGAAAACAACATTTCTGTATTTTGTGCTAGTTTTTTTATGTTGTAATAACAAAGCAACACAGTGAAAAAGGTTGAAAAAGGACCAAAGTCAATAAAGGTCAATTTGTTTTTTTTGTGTACTGGCCTAATTCTGCTGATCCAGCAAAAGGCAAAGCAGAACGTTAGTAGGGAATGTGCACAGAAGAGTCTTCTTAGAAAATAATTTATTCACATGTCTCATTCCATCACATATCCAAAAAATAAGAGGACTATTCCTCAATTCAGGATAGTTGGCAGAGCCACAAAATCATTGATGTATGCACCTTGGTCAGATTCACTTCCAGAACCGTTGGTGTATAATTTAGTAAAGCCGTATGGAAACCATGTGTTTCATAGAGTAGAGCTTGGGACCCAACAAAACAGTATAAACATACAGGTTATAGGGAGAAGGGAAAATAGCCTGTATGTATAAACTGTCTAGAATGGAAGCTGACAGGAAAAAAAAACATTAAAAAAGGAATCCCTCTTTATTCCAACAGTAACAAATTAGTTTTCCAAATCAGCCATCTCACTGATGAATACTTTCAGGGTTATTCACAAAAGGGTGAAGAGTTTGGAGAAGGCCGGAGAAGTGAACAATCTAGTACAAAATAGCTGATTTGGAAACATTATCCAATACAGCTCAGTTTCCAGTTCAGCTATGTTGTCCTAGATTGTTCACTTCTCCTGCCTTCTCCAAACGCTTCACACTTTTGTGAATAACCCTGTATGTATCATCAGCTGTGGATTTTCCTTTTTCTTTTTATGATTTGTCATTCCATTATTTTTTATATTTTACCATTTATGCTTCTGTGCTTACTGTTAGCTTTAGGATAAAATGTAAGTGTATGGATAAAGTGGAGAAGAACCCCTGCCAGGTGTTTATTTCTGCCTGGGTCCCTGCTGGGTAGATTCACCCTTCTCAATTTGTCCTGGTGCCTGTTGCCACCAAGACAGAAATCCAGAATGTTATAGTTGTCACCAGAAAAAAAGGAGAAGATAATTCTTCCAGTTGGGCCATCTGTTTATGGGACAGCTGTCTAAGAGGACAATTACTGTAACTTTGGAGAGATTTCCTCTCACTTCTTCTGCATCCCCAGGAAAGGAAATTAAGGTAAATCTCCTTATCAGAATACAGAGAGCAGATAGGGTTTTTTTTTTTTAAAGGGTTTGGGGTATACATGCATTGTAAGGAATTTAGACATTAGGAATTAGGCAAATGTACAAAATCCATTAAGTCGATACATATTTACTATAACATTGTTATGTTTATTGTTAACATTAAAACTTAAAATGCAGTTAAAATATACACTTATCTATACTCCATTTTATGTGACATAGGTATTGAATCATCTATCTTATTTTGTTTGTTGAGCTGGGTGGTGCTGAGAGGTCAGCCAATTCATCAGAATTCAGACAAAATTAAAGCTGTGCATGGCAACCTTTAGTGGGGAAGCCTTGACTGGCTTTTGAAATAAGATTAGGGGGAAGGCAGAGAGAAGTAGACAAGCTTAGTATACACAGTTATATTTTCTTTGTTAAACCTGAAAGCTGAAAGAAAAAAATATAACTGATTCCTCCATAAATGCTTGAGAACGTGGATGGACAAACCCCATGCTGTTTCCAGTTGATTGGCTACAAGCTTTGTTCGACTGAGAAGTTTCCAACCGGTTCCTTTGATCAGCTGATTGAGAAGTGGCGGGCGGAAGGGTGCCAACAGGGGTGCGCACTCTGCAAATTTTGTACAGTTTATCAAGAACCGGATAAATCTCACATTGTGAGTAACCTACTTAAGTGGAGCCTTCAGTCTGCCAGTCTTGTTCTAAGCTTTAGAGATTTAATGGGGTTGTTTTACTAAATCAGAAGAGACTGTTCACTCAGGAAAGTCAATCTTTAGTTAACGTAGTAAATAAGTTGACACTGTGGTCACTTCAATCAAACTTTTTTTTTTTTAAATGGTCCTTGTACATTATTGGGTATTTAAACGAAACACAGAGATTACATAGACGACAATAATAGTTGGGTGGTGAAATTGCGCCTTCACTTTTGATGGCCTTCTTATCTCTCTGGGTAGCTGAAGGCTTCCAAATATTGCAAAAAGATCGAGAGCACCAAAGAATTAAATAAAATATATAAAGGAGCAAAATGCATGGCTCAGAAGCCACTGGTAGAAGCCTTCACTTAGGCACCATGTTAGACCAAGGGCAATGACTTTGCTTGCAGTAAAGCTAAATACATTCAGTGTTATTGCTCCAAAATGAGTCCAAAAAGTTAGGGGTCGAGCTGCTTCCATTGATTGCTTCTAAAATACTGGTTTTATTTGCGAGTGATTCCCTTTAAGGTGAACGTGTGACCGGGATATGGATATTCAGGTGTTTACAAACTCTTAGCAAGCAGTGAGTCTGGTTGGCAACAAGCCTCATTGACCTCTGTGACTGCATGCACTTTGGAGAAGTTCACAGCAGAAGCACTGAAGTAACTCAAGTTGTTCTTTCAGCAGCTCAGCTTCCCCATTAAGAGCTCATTCTTTGTGTTCATATCAGAGATTAAAAGGCTGGACTTCATCTATTTACTGCTTGTAAAGAATATTTAAATACCTGAATGCTCATAGCCTTGTCATAGATTCAATTTAAGTACACCTGTACACCATAAAGAAAAGGAAGGTTCTCACAGTCTCAGCCAGGGGGTTTACTGAAATCAACTGGCAAACTTCAGCACAAGGTGGTCTTTGGAATACCACTGATGTTTTCCTATTGATTAACCTTACAATACCAGAATGTGCTTTTGTGGACCTTCTTTTTATGCATTGTACTACTACAGCTGTGTCAAGCTTTAATCCTGCAGCACAAACCTGCATGGTTGCTAGCCATATTCCTTGGCAGTTGCTTGTCTTTTGCATACATATGTATACTTTTTGTACCGGTATGTTCCTTAACTCCATCTTACGTTATTCAGCATGCTCATTATGTGCACTATTTTGACCAACTGTGTGTTCATGACCATGAGTAATCCCCCGGAATGGACCAAGAATGTAGAGTAAGTAATATGCCGACCTACACCAAATCCTTATCACCATTGTATCATTATAACCCAATATGAGACCTTCTCCATATTGTGACTTTAGATACACTTTCACTGGGATTTATACCTTTGAATCTCTAATAAAAATTCTGGCAAGAGGATTTTGCTTAGAAGGTTTCACTTTCCTGCGGGATCCATGGAACTGGCTGGACTTCAGTGTCATTAGCATGGCGTAAGTATTCATTATATTTTATTTATATTGTTTATTAACATACAGCTTCAAAGAAGTAGAGTTCAGTTTGTTACAGAAGACATGTATTTTAGATGTAAACATAGTGCTGTGTAGAAGGAAGTGAGAGGGTAGATGTCACACTTAGTTTTTTCAGTAATTACGCTTTTTACACATTTATCACTATAGTACCAAAATGCTGCAACCCAATAATATATACAGTAAATGAGGTACAACATCAGGATGTCAGAAGGGGAGCTTAAAGTGAATCTGTGACCAGGCATGGGACATTCAAATATTTGCATATCCTAACAAGCAGTGGGATAATTTGCTTTAAACAAATCTGCCAATCCCTTCTGCCAGAGGAAATAGGGGAGATGAGCTTTGATTTTAGAACCTTTGTATGAATTTTGGGGCTGAATTGCTCCACAGTACAGGCAGCTACAGAGTACAGTTACAGTCAGGGCTTGTTTTAAAGCTCAATTACTGTTTGTTAAAATATGTAAATACCACCGGTACTCCGTTAGTGTTGGCTCCACCCCATTTATCGGATAGTCAAGCACATAATAAGATACTAAGGGGGTGATTTACTAACCTAAACACACGCACGCACTAGGTGCGTGTGATTTCTACACAGCAAAACTTATTTATCAACCAAAAAGTCTCTAAAAGCATATTTCTACTAATGCCATATATGGAAAAATCATGCACATGGTGCATATATAATACTGCTTCACAGTTTAGACAAAAATGGTTAGCTCATGCATTTACATTCCTGCATTCATCAATGCGAGCAACACAACATAGAGCTAATTTACACAACATCACCATGCAAATTCATGCAGGGCTTTGCACAACACACTTGCTGGGTGTGTACACACTTCTGTTATGGTGAGAACGGGTGAGAGGGACTGGAAGTGAGGAAAAATATTTCCATCAGGGCTGAGGCCACAACAAACTTTTTTTTTTGTAATTGCGAAAGCTTAGAAACTCAGTGAGATTTTTTTTGCTGTTAGTGCATTTCCATCTCAGAACCATTTCCCCTAATTTCTTGTCCTGGTCTCACATGGATAAAGAGTGAGCATAATGGTTAAGGCATATATTTGTTTCATGCCCATTTATATATACAGTATATAATTTCATGAGCTTATGAATGGCTTATTTTTATAGCATTAAAAATACATCTTACTAGTGAAAAGCTGCCCAACCCAACACTATTTAAATCAAGAAGACATTTTACTTGCATCTCTGAGCTAAAACAAATATGCCGTAAAATTTGCACGTTTGGAAGTCTTATTTTTTTGTGGATGCAAAGGGCAACTTTTGCTCCGGTTTTCTTTATCCCAATTTTTATATATGACCCACACTCATGTGACCGATACTGTTCTGTGCTTTAAAATGACTACATGCTATTATAAATCATAGATAATTTGTCTGGCTTTATTTCTGTCTGTGTCCATATTGGGAAATGGCCCCCTTACTTACTGTTATGGTGAGAACGGGTGAGAGGGACTGGAAGTGAGGAAAAATATTTCCATCAGGGCTGAGGCCACAACAAACTTTTTTTTTTTGTAATTGGGAAAGCTTAGAAACTCAGTGAGATTTTTTTTTGCTGTTAGTGCATTTCCATCTCAGAACCATTTCCCCTAATTTCTTGTCCTGGTCTCACATGGATAAAGAGTGAGCATAATGGTTAAGGCATATATGTGTTTCATGCCCATTTATATATTGTTAATATGGATATTTTGGTACTATTTCATGAGCTTATGAATGGCTTATTTTTATAGCATTAAAAATACATCTTACTAGTGAAAAGCTGCCCAACCCAACACTATTTAAATCAAGAAGACATTTTACTTGCATCTCTGAGCTAAAACAAATATGCCGTAAAATTTGCACGTTTGGAAGTCTTATTTTTTTGTGGATGCAAAGGGCAACTTTTGCTCCGGTTTTCTTTATCCCAATTTTTATATATGACCCACACTCATGTGACCGATACTGTTCTGTGCTTTAAAATGACTACATGCTATTATAAATCATAGATAATTTGTCTGGCTTTATTTCTGTCTGTGTCCATATTGGGAAATGGCCCCCTTACTTACTGTTATGGTGAGAACGGGTGAGAGGGACTGGAAGTGAGGAAAAATATTTCCATCAGGGCTGAGGCCACAACAAACTTTTTTTTTTTGTAATTGGGAAAGCTTAGAAACTCAGTGAGATTTTTTTTTGCTGTTAGTGCATTTCCATCTCAGAACCATTTCCCCTAATTTCTTGTCCTGGTCTCACATGGATAAAGAGTGAGCATAATGGTTAAGGCATATATGTGTTTCATGCCCATTTATATATTGTTAATATGGATATTTTGGTACTATTTCATGAGCTTATGAATGGCTTATTTTTATAGCATTAAAAATACATCTTACTAGTGAAAAGCTGCCCAACCCAACACTATTTAAATCAAGAAGACATTTTACTTGCATCTCTGAGCTAAAACAAATATGCCGTAAAATTTGCACGTTTGGAAGTCTTATTTTTTTGTGGATGCAAAGGGCAACTTTTGCTCCGGTTTTCTTTATCCCAATTTTTATATATGAACCACACTCATGTGACCGATACTGTTCTGTGCTTTAAAATGACTACATAGATAGATAATTTGAGACAATATATTTACGAATGTAAAGATCTCACTATTGGACACTGAGCTCAAGTAACAATATTCACCTCAGCTTGAGCAAATGTTTATCAAATTCCCTTTTCCTAAAGGAGATGGAGGTTACAGGGATTTTAGGGGAGGGGGTTAGGTGTGGATGATGGTTGGGCATTTTGATACAGGAGGCTGGGCATGTCTTCTACATTAGGGAGACATTGGTGTTAGGAGATTGTTATGGGTTGGTGTTGAAGATCTGGGGTCCTTGGCCATATTCTGCATCAGGAGCTAGATTTGTTAACCCACCTCACTGTTCAGAGAATGACTACAGATACACACATCATTCCTGGTCACATTTTAATCATAATATGTCTTATAGTAAATTTATTGATTACAGCAGGATTATTGCAATGTATTACAATGATTTTTTATACTGTGGCCATGCCACAGAATTCAGAACCAGAAAAACCGAGATTACACGACTTACATACCATGGAATGTTCAGATGTCTTTTATATTGTTTGTTAATACAACTACAATAGATAACTCCATGGTAACATACAACTAGAAGCAGACTCTGCAGAGATATATAAGGTACATTTTAGACTATTAAGTAGTAGCAAAAAGAATGTTAAGCAAATCTCTTATCTTGTATATTAATTTTTAGACACATTAGAGTGAAAATATTGGATGTATTCTGTATTATTATGTGTGTCCTATACATGCTATATGAAGAAAAAGATTGTTTAGTTATATATATATATTTGATGTTTGAACATGTTTATATGACAAGTTAAAGCAAATACTTAGCTCTTAGTTCATAGATACAAAAAAATAAAAGATTATGCATTTAAACTTTTTAAACTTAATAATACCAATCAGTGAATTCTATGAAAAGCTCCCTAGGAATAAATGATTCACAATCAATATCAAACAAATTAAAATACAAATCTTTTATTGGGCTATATTGTAACCCAAGATATATCCCATTTAATGCTCCAGCCTAGGCTTGGAATTGCAGAATGTCAGTTCAGGTGTTTTTCAGGAGGCCAGACGCTTACAAAAGTGGATGTGATTTAGTATATTTAATGCTGTGGACTGCTAAGTCTCAGCCAGCTCTATCTCATCCAGTTAGCAGAATTCCCTGAGGCCCAATATGTTATTCACTTGGTCTCCCATCCTATATGTGGTTGGCGGAGTTGACAATACAGAAATTGTATTGCCTCACAGAACTCAGCAGCTGTTTAATATATATACAGCTGTGGGTCATTGTGGCTTATTTGCTAGGGCTGTTGTAGCCCCAGCAAAATAATATAATTTTTGGCTTTCAAAAACTTTAGCTTGACTTTGACCACGTCCCACTGATTTAAATCCATATTTCACTTTAAATTTATATTCATTAGTAATTCGTGGTTTTGAAGTAAGCACCAAAAAAGGTCTTAAATGGAAGACCTTTGTAGATATCCTGAATAACTCTGATTTAATCCTACAGGTATGTAACAGAATTTGTAAACCTAGGCAATGTTTCAGCTCTTCGAACTTTCAGAGTATTAAGAGCTTTGAAAACTATTTCTGTAATTCCAGGTAAGAAGTAATTGGTGTGAGGTGTTAGGCCCCTTTGTACATCCAACTGTTTCTTTGTGTCTGTCATTGTGTTTGTGTGTGAACTCCCCTATTACAGATATGTCACAGAGTTTGTGGACCTGGGCAATGTCTCAGCATTGAGAACATTCAGAGTTCTCCGAGCATTGAAAACAATTTCAGTCATTCCAGGTGAGAGACTGGTTAAACATGTAGGCTGATTTCTCTTTTTTTAATCATCTTTGATCTCACTTTGAGCCTAATGCCTCGTTGCTTGCCATTGCAATGCAAGAAAGCACAATCGAAGAGTTCAAAAGCACAAATCACTTGGCAAATGCCTGATTTCCAAACGATCTTGTGCTTTTAACCATTTTTAAGCTTATCATTTTTTTTTCCATTTTTTTAAAATCAGCCTTGGAGTTTAACGAAATTCTTGCATGGGACATCGCAATAAATACCCAGCCTGCGTGATGTTTGTTTTGTTTTCTTTTCTGTTTCCCATCCAACTAACCCTATATGTGAATGTCTTTATGATTGTTTAATTCATGAAATGTACTCTACATCCCGGACAATGCTATGTGTTATTACATGCTCAATCTGAAAAAACATCATTGCTGTTTCTCTCTCTTTCCAAAAAAAAAATAATGAAAAAATACAAAAGAAAAAGAAATAAAGAAAACATGTTAAACATAAAGGAAAAAAAATAAATTATAAAAAAGTACATTCCTGAAAACATGGGCATTGCATGGGAAATATTATTTTAGAAAAACAGTGATAAATACTGGCATCTAAAACCTGGGCACAGTTTTATAATATACGATCATAACAATCTTTATGAATTGTAATTTTGTTAAGTATGTTATAAAATTGTCAGAAGATGTACCGTCTAGGCTGCAGACTTGAATGCATATGTTAGATATCACCCGTAGCATGAAACTCAAGGTGTCTTGTTTTCTTACAAAACAAGCCTAATTCTTTATTTCTTATGAAAATCTTTAGCATCCATCATCACTCACTTTTCTTCAAGTAACCTCCATTAATACTTCACCCTTACATCTCCACCCTTGCTAAATACCCATCATAGCTCACAATTCCACGAACATCAAACTTCATTTAGGCTGATGCATGGAATCTCTATACTTCGTTAGGGCACATGTTTCCGACTGTGGTTGTATTGGCATATGATAACCACTTGCCTGTTTTTCTAGGCCTCAAGACCATTGTGGGTGCCCTGATTCAGTCGGTTAAGAAGCTTTCAGATGTGATGATTCTCACAGTGTTTTGTCTAAGTGTGTTTGCACTAATAGGACTGCAGCTTTTCATGGGACACCTACGGAATAAATGTGTACGGTGGCCCCCAGTATATGAACCAAATATTACCTCCTACTTTAATGCATCTTATGGCATGAATGGCTCCTATATCAACATAACTTTAAATCCATTTGACAAAGAAGAATATATCCTAGATGAAAGTAAGTATGCATTTTATCGCCTATAGAAAATATTTTTCTTCCACAGCTAGAACCGCCCAGATTATCTTGGCAAATGTCTAAAATATTCAGCACAATGATTTGTTGTCCCCACTAGGAGACATAAGTATCATTGTAGATACAGTTAAGAATTTTTAACAATAAATGTACACACTGCAGAAGATACTTAAAAAGTATCTCACTTTCCCAGTTTGGTCTTTTACCAGCCCACCACTGAACGCACTTATACGTAAACCTTGTATGAGCGCCTTGTCAGATGGTCTTCAAGCTTACAGTAAGTTGAGGATGTCACTCCCTCCCTTTACTTACTGTTCAGGCTTGGTGATTGAATCATGCTTGAGCACTACATTATCCCATGGATCACTACTTCAGCTGGAGAAATAGAGTTGTCACTAGAACAAGAATAGGGGGGACATCTTCCACCTAGTTAGGGCATTTCCCTCACTTTGGAGAGATTTCCTCTCACTTCCTGTGGTATGTACAAAACAGTAGCTTCTAAACAACATTTCAACATCAGTCTACAGAGCTACAGCATATACACAGGGAATGAGTGGTATTTTACGTTTAAAAGTCGTTGATCAAAATGTTTTTATTTTCTTTCTAACAGACAATTTCTATTTTTTGCCTGGGCAGAGGGATGCCCTTCTTTGTGGAAACAGCACGGATGCAGGGTAAGAAAAAAATATACCTCCTAATTTTAGAACTTGAGAAAGAGGGACACCTTAGGGAGATTAGGACCTACAGCACTGTTAAATTATACTGAATATTGGGCATGGCTTAAAAGAGCGTGAGCCTACCTGTGTATACACCACACAGTCATGACGCAGCCCTTGCACACACAAAATACTCCTCAAATTACAATGGCACAAATGAAAACATGACAGACACACATAAACCTCAAGCACAAAGGATCATTTCTTAAAATTGAAACTCTTTGATTGCACATCTTTTTCTGCACAGAATATAAGCAGACAGCTAACACTTTGATCAACGTTGTCATGACTGACTGCAAGGCCAAGTAACCCTCAACTCCCACCTAACTAACATACTGAACAAAGTAATTTCAACAAAAACGTAAAGTAATAACATTTATTGGAAAGTTGAATGGCCACAGCGATGTAAACATTTTCAAAATCATAGCAGAACATATTAACAAAATGCTTCGGTCCCTGACGATTGCCAAAAACACCACTCACCGCTTACGGGGGGTGTACCATGACCCATTGTTTACTGTACCAGCCACCGGCCGCCCATATCCTGGCCCGAGTGGGTACGCCTCAACCCTGCATGCCCCGCCACACACCAAGGGCCACCTCCAACCCTTCCCTAAGACCAAAATTAAAAACATCTAGCCCAACCTCCGTAAGGTGTGCACCATCTTTTCCCAGGTAATTGGCGTGTGACTCTAGTAGCCTGTGCCGAACCAATATGCCACCAGTGCTCCGAACAAATTTGGATACTGCCTTATTCACCTTGATGCGGGTACGGCAAACAGCATCATGGGAGAACGCCCCTCGCCATGCCCGACGGGGAACTATCTCTGACCAGATCAAAATCAGTTCCGGGTATAGCTCCCAGAGACGCAAAAAGACATCCTTAATGTCAACAATGAGGTTCTTCATGGAGCAGTGTCCTAAGTCATTGCCACCTGCATGAAAAATAATGACATCGGGGGGACCCCATCTCCGCAACCATTGAGTGACTCTAGGCAATACCTGATCCCATGTAAGGCCCCGGACCCCCAACCAGTGAATTGAAACCTCCCTCTCATCCAGGCCCAGGGACCTACCTGAATTCCGAAGCCTCGATCTCCTCTCAGCCCAGAAAATATAAGAGTGGCCAACCACCCACACCACACAAGTGCCTGGGAAAAGAAAAAACATGCCACTACTAAAGGGAAAAACAAAACAAAAATGTGTGCCCCCCCCCCTAAGATCTCACATGGGGGGAAAAATGGTGTTCCACAAGGTGAGGACGAATGTAAGATCTAAATCTAACTGATTCCCACCTGCCAATTTTCCGCACCAAATCATCCCCCAGCCCCCACCTGTGGGCTTCGGTGGCTGCACCTTTTCTGAAAGAATGGGTATTGTAATCCCCTGAGGACAGGCCCATGCCTTGTAAACAACGTTTAAAAACGGCCCGAAACTGAAAAAGAGATAGCGGAGCCGTCCTCATGTACCAACAAGGGCACTGGGCCCGCAGGACGAATACCCAGAAACCTGCGACAACAAGACACTGGGCAGGAGAGCAAAATTCCCTGCGAATGGAGTTGAACACGAAGGCCCCTGTTACGCCTGTCCGTCTTGGACTGGTAAATAACCAGGTCCAAAGTAGAGTCTCCACAAGAAACATCCCGGAAAGCAATCCCCCCAGAACCCCGCCTATTAGGGGACACCAATTCGCTAATCCTAAAAGCGCCATAAAATGCCAAAGAGAAAGCTAGAGAAAAAAGAACAATTTCATAGTCTGTGTCACACATTTCATGCAATCGCCGGAACAACCCTTCCAGGATTTGAAAAGTCACAGGGCGCCGGCGGTCCGCCTGGCTGGCACCCTTCCTCCACCCTTTAAGAATTTTTTGAACTATGAAAACTTTTGTGGCATCCTGACTGCTTTCAAGTTTAAACAAGAAGGACAGGGCTGACATATTCTTGTTAATGACCGATACCGACACACCCTCCTCCTTCAAAGACAATAAAAACCAGAGGAGAAGATCCACGTTGTCCTGAGTCCCACAGCTGCTCTGAGCCAAAAAACAAATTCATACCACCGCCTCCATACCTTTGTATACGCCAACCACGTCGAACTCGCCAAGGAATCCCTTACCCAACCTGCCGCCCGATGGACGCAACGTTCCACAAACTCTCCGGCCAAGGGGTGGCCTCCTCGTCCGCCTCCGGGGCCAGGCGACGAAAACGATCCCACTGAAAGCGAGACAGAGCGTCAGCTATCCCATTCTCCAAACCAGGAACATGTATCGCCTGAAAGCTAATATTTTTGCGAAGGCAGCCCAGTACTAAACATCGCAGGAGGTTTACTACCGGAGGGGAGGACGCAGAGAGATTATTCACTGCTTCAACCACTGCCATGTTGTCAGAGTGAAATTGAACAGCCCTGTCACGAAGCTTATCACTCCAAACCTCTACCGCCACGACTAAGGAAAAAACTCAAGACAAGCCAAATTCCTCGTCAAGCCATCCTCACACCATGACTGGGGCCACGAACCCACACACCAAGGCCCTTCAAAGAAAGCCCCAAATCCACAAGCCCCCGAGGCATCAGTATAGAGTCGATGCTCCCCCCGGAGGGCCCACTCGCGCTGCCAGAGAGACTTGCCGTTATATTCCTGCAGAAAAACATCCCACACCCGCAAGTCAACTTTTAACGGAACCGTCAATCTAATGTGGTGCCCGGGGAAGAGATCCCTGCAGTGGCCTTAGATAAACGTCTGCAGAAAACCCTGCCCATGGGCAATATTCTGCAAGCAAAATTAAGCCTGCCCAGTAAACTCTGCAATTCCCGCAGTGTGATTTTTTTTTAAAGACAAGGCCTTGGAGATCAAGGCCCGCAACTCCACTAACTTGTCCTCCGGAAGCCTGCACTCCCCGTAGGGAATCAATTTCTATGCCCAGAAACTTCATAACAGGAGCAGGACCCTCCGTCTTGTCTACCGATAGTGGAACACCAAATTGACGAAAACCGATTTTAGCGTCTCCAGAAGCACCAAACATACTTGAGACTCGGCTGGGCCAACACAGAAGAAATCATCGAGATAGTGCAATATAGTCCTCTGACCAGAAACAGCTCTTACCACCCATTCCAAAAAGGTACTGAATGCTTCAAAATAGTCACATGAGATTGAACACCCCATGGGCAAACAGCGATCTACATAGAACCCACCTTCAAAGAAGCAACCCAATAAGCGCTGGCTATCTGGGTGGACTGGCAGAAAGCGAAAAGCCGACTCAATATCGGCCTTAGCCATCAAGGCGCCCAAACCAGCTGGAATGGAAACCATTCCAGCTGTCCCTCCAGATGCAGAAGAGGTAGCAGGAGCTGAAAATGCCTGCGGAGCGGAAACACCATCACCTGCGGAAGAAGGCAGACATGATCGTCCCGATTAGTCACGGCTGAAGGATGCCCTCTGCAAAGAAAACGGTTCTCCTGGCACAGGGGCGCCGGAATGATGTGCCTGCAGGGGAAGAAAAGAAGAGACATCCCTGCGCAGTCCTGGCTGCGAGTGTTCCAACACCGCCAGAGCCGATCTTCTCCCTACACCATCCGGCACTGGCCCCACCAGGGCTGCCTGAGAAGAGCCTCTGACAAGAGAGGATGTCCTGCCATTGTCCAGGCCAGCAGCTGGCATTGCCCCTGGAGCCCACATAGAGGTCACCTGTGCGGCCCCTACCGGACCCAGGGTCGCTGAAATCTCATGGGCTGGCCTCCCGCTAAGGGAGCAGGCATCAGCCCTCGTATCAACCTCTAAGTGCAAGGGGGGAGCCATAAGTTCCATGTCACTGGCGTCCCCCCACTCATCTGTCACCACCATGCGCTCTCTGCACCTGGGTTGTGACCGAGAAACAGCTCCCAAACCACCACTTTTTGCTGCAGGCAGATCCAAGGGCAGCCTAGTCTCTGTCACAGCCCTGACAGAGAGACTGCTGACAGGAGCTGAAAGAACCACAGAGCTCCGTGCTTGGCCCCTCCCCCCTGCCTCACACACTGTGAAATCAGCTCCCATAGAGCTGCCTGAAGCCTGTCCCGTCCCCAGGGCCCCCTCCCTCTTCCCCTCACAAGTTCGAGTGGTGAGAGGAAGACTCACAGCCACCCCAGAGCGTGAAGCACTGCTCCTACCCCTCCTAACACTGCTCCTAACACCCTATCTAGCAGTACTCCTCCCCTTCTTCCCCCCCCCCGTGGGCGGTCTGTGCTGTGGCTGAACGGTTCCCTGCGGGACTCAGCCTCCTCCTCTCACGGCCCAAAGTGACCTCTGGGCTCAGACGCTCGGGCGGCCTGCTTCTCCTCTTCCTACCTGCGTCCTGGGATGGCATAGTGAATACCTCATCTAGCTGCCTACTCACCCAATCCGGGCCATGGGTCGATGCCTGATCTCGAATCCGCTGAAGCAAAGATTCCAGCGCTGCAGCCATCCTGGTAAGAAACTACTTACCTAGCCTAAACAACACAGAGCTCACCCCCTGACTGATTTCTTTTCTCTCCCACCTAAAATGGTTCCCTACCTCACACTGTACAGTAAGATGGCCTCCCTAACTCCACCCCCCAAGCTAAACCCACCTATCACTATGCTGGCTGTTCCTCCCTCCCCCCTTTTCAAACCCCAACCGACAAACCCCCTTCCTTCCAATACTTACCTAACCCCTCCTTGTTCAGGTCTGACCTGCCTCAGTCATGTCCCTCCCTCCGCCTATTGCTCCGCAGGGAACTGGAGTATGTGATGTACATCACAGAATGCAGCGGTTAGGACTACAAGTATATAACATAAATCACGGTGTATAAAGTTCAGCAGTCAGGAATATGTAATGTACAACATGGCTTTAAGAATGCACGACTTGTCTGTGCATTACCTTAAATATAATTTTATGCATTTATTCATATTTTTATAATTTTATTTATTCAGCCAATGCCCAAAAGGATTTGTATGTTTAAAAACTGGAAGGAATCCTAACTATGGCTACACAAGTTTTGATACCTTCAGCTGGGCCTTCCTGTCCCTGTTTCGGCTGATGACTCAAGATTACTGGGAGAACCTTTATATGCTGGTAAGTACTTTCATTACTGTTTTATCAACCGATGGGTCATGTCAGATGAGCAAGCTTGTAGCAGACAACAACTCGCCAGTGACAGGATTTTTAAGAGACCATCTAACTTCTCCTATGGAGTTTTTCCTTCACTGACCTTACCAGCTAGATGGTGCATTGTGGCTGCAGTGAGGAAAATTCCAGGCAACTGAGAGCAACATCCCATTCAGGGAAGTGTTGTCAGTGTCTAATATCAACCTTAGAAACTACTGTTTCATCGGGATGTGCATGCTTGCCTGGATTGAGGTGGGATTTGTGTTGCTTACTGGAGGAACTTAAAGAAAACATGTCATGAGAAGAAAAAGGATAGTACGATTGATGACTATCTTCTGAAAATGCTAGTTACCTGTTAATCTTTGTATTCAATACTATGTGAATCACAGGCCTGAAACAAGCATAAAGAAGACAAAGTCAGAGTATGTGATGTCAGAAGGTATTGAAGCAAAATGTTTACTATGACAGTGAGGCAACTAGCATTTTTGTTTAAATAGATTGACAATTGAAGCATATTTCCTCCTCACAGGTTAGCTTTAATAAGTTACCTTTTCAGTACACATAATCTTTCTTATCCTCCTCTGAAATAAACTAATAGAGGGAGTTTAATATTATATAGGCTCTGCATTAAAGTTAACTTGTTTCTTTACTCTGCATGAGCAAAGCGCAGATTCATTAAAACACTGTTGGGATTGTTCTTGACCAAAAAAACTGAAGGACTTTACATTTTGCTCTAGACCCTGCGAGCTGCTGGCAAGACCTACATGATCTTCTTTGTGCTGGTGATCTTCTTGGGCTCCTTCTATCTTATTAATCTGATCCTGGCTGTGGTGGCCATGGCCTATGACGAACAGAACCAAGCAACATTAGAAGAAGCTGAGCAGAAAGAAGCCGAATTCCAGCATATGATGGAGCAGTTAAGAAAGCATCAAGAAGATATTCAGGTAAAATTCAACAACTTAGAATTCCTAAACTTGTAGACTGGTGCTAACATAACCAATAGGCCTTGTTGTGCCAGTGATTCAAATGCAACAGCATATTTACATGCATGGTGCTTTGTTTGTTGTGTTTACTGTTCACTTCCATATTATTATTATGTATTATACTTGACCCAAAATACATTCTTCCATTGTGGGTGACATAGGTATTTGTCCATCTGAAAGCTGCGTTACCTTTTTCTCTGGTCCCTGCAAGGCCCCTTTGAATGCCTATGGTGAACTTGTTATACTACTTTCTTGTATTTTGTACAGCTAATGGTTTGTACAAAGCATCTTTGATCTGGCATGAGGGCAGCCTTGTATTATTCTGTAAGAAGAGAACTAAAAATAATGTATTGATCTCTCCATAAGTAATGTTTACGATAATGTCCCTCTAATGCTCGATTGATTTCTGCATTCGGGTGAAAAAAAAGGTTCATCTAGAGTCATATGAAAGTATCAGATACAATGCATTCTAGAAAGGCCGCAAGATATGGCAGTTTAGAAAGAGTCATACTTACAGTTGATGCATATTTAGCCATCTTTATTGAGCTTTTTATGTATTAAAGTGCACTTGTGCCCACTCTTTGCACAATAAAGTATTTACATATTCTGAACAAGCTGTGTAGAAACAAATATTCAATATTTACAACAGAAGGACTGAAATCACAGCTCATCTCCCCTTAATTTCTAAGGCAGCAGGGACTTGGGAGGGTGCCAGCCTTCTAACAAACAGCAAGTGCTGTAAAAAACTGACTAAAACCAACAATTCAGTCTCTGTTGTGATCTTTGATGATCAATAACTTCATATTAAAAGCAGCTAGAGAGGTCAGTGATGGCTTATATAATTACCTTTTACTGCTTAGGATATGTAAATACTTTATTGTCCATAGTCTGGACACAGGTGAATTTTAAAGGCAAGCTACATCTAAAGTTGTACTCAAGGGTGGGTTGAATTACCTTTTAGCCTTTAAAATCTGCTGGGAAATAAAGTGGCAAGCTTTTTCTCTAGCATTCTCTGTCCCCCCTGTCCCCAACATGAGGTTGGCTTGGTTCCATCCTCCATCCAGTTGGTTTTGCAAACTAAAATATTAGTTTGGTTGGTAACTGCCTTAAAAATACACCTGTGTGTGATGGCACAATCTGGCCGTTTTAAAGGCAATTAGTATTTCAATGGATGCTGAGCACTACATCAACTTGTAAGCTTGGCTTTAAAGAATGAGGAAGGGTTAGATCCTGTGTTGGGTGTCTTAATTGGAGAGATTCTCCTCCCTGCTGTGTCACTGGAGCAGCAAATAAGGGCAAACCTCTAAAGTGAAAAAAAGTGGTAGAAACACTTTCTTTTGTAGAGTGGTAGTAGAGTAGTTTATCACATTAGCCATCAAATAATGGAGACAATTTGGAGTTAAAGTTATACCCTTTATTGGCTAACTGAAGTTGTTAAAGATGTAAGCGTGTGGGATTCCTCAGATCTCTTCTTTAGGCTTTACAATTCTGAAAATGGTTCTGAAACCCACATATTTATACAAAGAGTTACAAGGAGGAGTACAATGTAAATATTTAAAAAAATACAACAATTGTTTACATTTTTGTGACACACTTTAGTTGTAAAGGCTGTTGTAGCGGGTTAGGCTATTCAGATTAGAGTTTATAAGTGTTATTAGGGTAATTGGCTCAGAGATAATTGACCCCTTATTTCTGAGCCAATTACCCCAGTAGCACAGTAATAATAATAATAATAATAACAATAATAATTCAGTAACACTGTTTTACTTGTTAGTTTTGAAGATTTATTTTTTAAAGAAGATGATACTCCTGGGACTCTATACATGCCATAGTCCGGCTACTTGTCATGGTAGACCTGGGACATAATCCTGCCATATGCCTTCCCCATATGACTAATAGGCCCATATCCAAGTACTAAGCCTCTCTAACTATACATTTGCTCATTGCAACTTGGGCATGTATTCTATTGTTATGGAAGAAGCCCTAGCTCCCAACCACACAGCTGTGGTTCACTAACAACAGGAGATATTATTTCTTGAATATGGACACAACTCTGATGAGGATGTCCATCCTCCATGGTGAGGTCTCACTTGGGTCTCATGGGGAACTGCCCCCTCCCTCCACTCTTTTTCCCCATCTCTTTACCCTCCCACTTTTCTTTTTTCTTCTATGATACGTTAATTACCTCTCCCTATTCCATCACCCCCTCAGCTTCCCCCAGCCCTTCCCCCCACTTGCCGCCTTATAAAATAAATCCACTGTTATGGATGTTCTGTGACAATCTCTTCTTCTCATAGACAGCGGCAGCCGCAGCACATGAAGCAGCAATTGGATCCAGAGAGTTTAGTGGAGGGACAGGTTATGGAGGCCTGTCAGAGAGTTCATCTGTAACATCTATGCTTAGTTCCAAAAGTGCCAAGGAAAGAAGAAACAGAAGAAAGAAACGGAAACAAAAAGAGCAGGGTGAAGAGAAGTGTGATGGCCAGAAATTCCGCAAGTCAACATCAGAGAACAGCCTGAAGAAGTTCCGTTTCCCCTTAGAGGGAATGCGGTTGTCCTATGACAAGAAATCTTCCCCCCACCAGGTAATGCAGCCACTCTTATTATCAACGTCTTCTTAACATTTAGAAATCACTTAGGAAATTCAGCTAGTAGTTCATTAAAATATGAATGTAAAATGATGTATGGAATAAAGTTCTAATCTAAAATTAAAGGGTAAACACCTGACAAAACTGAAAATTAAACCTTTTAATTCGTAAAGAGAAAACAACCTTCTCTCTCAGTACTATAGTTTTTCATGTAGGCCTAGCTACAGTCCATCCCTGTTCCTTTTTGTAGTAATCTAGTGATTTGAGAACCCCTGTTTGTAATGTAGGAAAGGTATTCTCAAAACACCCATTGCAGGCATCCTGGTGTCTCTCACATACATAGGACCTAATTAAAAAAAGAAAAATTGAATGCATATGTTCAAAGCAGACTTTGCAGTAAAATGCAAGGTCCACTTATACTCTATGGGCCTCTTCCCCTGTAAAACTCACCAGCTGTTAGTAAATGTAAATAGATCTTATACAAAAATGCTCTGCATTATCCAAGAACACACAGCGATGCGGAAAACGGAGGTAAGGTAAGTAAAAAAGTAACTTTTTTCTTTATTAGTACCTTTTTTCACCTACTAGCTGCAGGAGATTTTAATTTGGGAAGGTGGCCCAGACAGTATATGTAGACCTTATATTGTACTGCAAGGTCTGCTTTCAGCAGCACTGTGTTTGAATACAAAAGGCAGCATGTGAAAACAGAGCCCATCCACATGAGCCCTAGACATTGTTACTATGTTTCTCTGACTATTGTGGTACAGTATTTTTGTGCTGACAGCTGAATGTGTCTTCTACTCATCACCTTGCCCAAATTCAATTTACATTTAAATTAAATTGTTATTTGTTTTTCATTTAAAAGTCCCTGCTCGATGTCCAGGAGGGCCTATTCTCACCAAGGCGAAACAGTAAAACCAGCCTATTCAGTTTTCGAGGCCGTGGGAAGGATGTGGGATCAGAGAATGACTTTGCAGATGATGAACACAGCACTTTTGAGGACAACGAGAGCAGGAGAGGTTCTTTATTTGTACCACGCAGATCCGGAGAGAGGCGGAACAGCAATATCAGCCAAGCCAGCAAGGCCTCGAGAACCCTGCCAGCGAATGGGAAGATGCACAGCACAGTGGATTGCAACGGAGTGGTCTCCCTGCTGGGTGGGCCGTCACCAACATCGCCTGCTGGACTACTTCTGCCAGAGGTGATAATAGATAAACCAGCTTCTGATGACAATGTAAGGAAGTTTCAAATAGTTTAGGCATGGTAGCCTTTATTGAGTGCTTCCCTCAGGAACACTCCATATTTGGTTGGTCAAGCTTTGAATGTTACTGCTTTTTGCAATGCCCATAATATACTAACAGCACAGTTTACTATAATTTAGCCTATAGATTCCACTAATTCTATTTTTAACTAACAAGGTATGGTATTGCAGAGTTTACTGTGAGCTCAGTACATTTTCTATAGAGGTATTGTACATAAATAAGGATGAGCCCAGTTGGGTGTATTCATTTCTCTAAACCTTTGGCAAAAATCAGACGATTTCAGCAAAATGTTCCTATTTTGGTCAAATGTCTTAGAGTCAATGGAGAAGGCAAAATTAAGGAGGTTTTTGGTGTATTTTAAGGGTGGATCAGGCTTTAAATGGTTCCTAAGTGGTATGAAAGCATTTTCTTAAAGTGACACTAAACTCAGGAGTTTGAATCCTAAAAATGCATTCAGCTACCCTAACTATTAACAAAAATGTATCTTATTTGTGTATCACTCGGCTGTAGATCCTCAAATCATCTCTGAAATGAGCAGAATTAAAGCTCCTTTTGGGAGAAATCTTACCATTGGTGAAATTGGTAACTGAAATGACAGAATCACCTTGATATTATGATAATGTTGACCTACATTGACAAAAATGTTCCAAAGATGAGATGAGAAAAGTGGTGCTAGTGGCAAGTGCCCATGAATATATCAGAAGAGAAAGGATGTGGAATACTTACTAAGCCAGTTTAATAGATCTTTCAGGGGACTGAAAGGTCCAGTGATATTCCTGCCCACACAAGCCCTTCTGTGAATACCACAGCTGCCAGTTTGCAGGTCCAAGCCTGAAGAAAGTGCAATGTGAGGTATTTCCCTTAAAAAAATAATTTCAACATTTAGCCAATGTAGGGGAAAAAAGAAAGTTTGTATAGTTACTCATATACATTGTGCTGCATAAATCAATCCACTGAAGACAATAATTAGACGCTCTGAGGCTTCCCATTCTAAGCTCTATACCACATGAAACATATAGGCCCACGGATGTCAATTCAACATATGGAATTAATCCATTTATTGCCAAAACATTGTTCAAGCAATACGATGAACAATGTATTAGACCAATCATACTTTTTCCAAGGTGGGAAACATAATAAAATAACCATCATCTAGATTTCGCTGATATGAAGCTACTTCGGAAATTTTTGCTGCATCTGAAAGCTGGAAAGTGCACAAAATAATTTTCACACATCTTGGAAAAAGTATCACCTTAATCGATGTATAACTTTCACCTTTTAAAGCTAATCAGGCACAAAATCAAAGAAAGCTGTAAGAAGGCTCTGATGGAAGTAATAGTCCCTGACTAATGTGACGTATACTAGCTCTAGGACAGTTGGACAGATCTGTTTATTGTTTATTCTCATCTGTGCTTTTGCCTGCGGTATAATGTGCTATATTGATTGGAGGAAGATGAAGGGACAGTTTAAATAGAATCAATGTCTATGAAGGCTGGGCAGATCACTATGATGTTATGCAGTGCAGGAACTAGAAAAGGAATAGCAGCTTCCTTCCGATGCATCATAGACAGGTTTAAAGTAGAGCTGCAGCTAACGATTATTTTCAAAATCGATTAGTTAGCCGATTATTAAGTTCGATTAATCGGTTAATCGGATAAACAATACAAAAAAAAATTAGGACTTCAGTTTGGCAAAGCAATTACACACTGGCATTGACTTGTCATCAGCAGAGCATTGCTGGGAAATCTCATCTGTAATCTCATGAGATCTCAGGAAAAGGCATGTTCCTCCCCTGAGATGATGTGCATGGTCACATGTCCTAGTCACATGTCTAGTCACATGTGCCAGAAATCCAGGAAGTAATAGGAGAACTAATTATCTGCCCTCAGTAAACATGGCCACTGTCAGAAGACTGGGGAAGAAAAGATAAATAAGGTATGCAAAGAATAAAAAGCCAGCAATTATCTAGAAGTATCTGTTTGTAGAGTGTCATTACTAAACATTTCTAAAGGATGTTTGTTGTTATTCTAAAGATATGGGTAAAGGTCCGCTTTAAGTCAAGGTAGACAAGTACTCTATAACATTTGAAAAGCAATATCCCTTATAAAGAAAGCAATTAATACTTACCTGTCCCATTAAACTCCTCTAGGTTAAAGAACAAAGCAAATATCTTCTGCATTCAGAACGTCAGTGTCAGATACTGGCATCTCCTGCTGTGCGTGGGTGTGGCAGAAGGAACCACAGTGCACAATGGGAGATCCTTCATCTGACACCATCTGATCCTTCATCTACACCTGGAAATGTGCAGGATGCTGAAGATCTTTGAGCAAGGTGTATTCTTTAACCTAGTGGAGTTTAGTGGTGCAGGCAATAGGACAGATAAGTAATACTTGCTTTTCTTTACAGGGAAGACAGCTTTTCAGAGCGTCAATCCACCAATGCAACGTGCTCTATGAAACGGGAGGACAAATCCTGTCATTCATCCGCTCCTCCTCCATTCACAGAGTGCATTGTCTTGTGTAGCCATAATAGTATGAGCTCTATTAATGGAGAAGGGAGCAGGAAGGGGCAGGCGAGAGGTTTAACATGTATCAAAAGGAAATATTTCCCTTCCCTATTGGAGACCCAACAGGACATAAAAGTGAGGGGAATTTCGTAATTGAACAGCCGTCACTAGAACTGGTGTCCCCATTGGAAGATTCCCCCTCACCTCTTCTTCTGGTGACAGCCATAAGTAATTCTGATTGAAACAAAATGTGATTTCCAATCAACAAGGTGTTAAATGTAATTTAAAATCTTACTTGCAGTTCAGCTTTTATTGTTTTTCAACACAGGTTTTTATAGTTAGACAACTGTATTTCACTTTCATCATAAATGTATATTGCTTAAAATGTACCTGTGACCGTAAGGGCATTCAAGTTTTAAAATATTCTTAGCAAACAGTAAATGGCGGTAAAAGGCGCTGTGGAGCAATTCAACCTTACATTTGAAAGCAGAAGCACGAATGTCATTCTCGGCAGCTCAGCTCACCCTGCTCCTCTCCGGACATTAGTTCTTCTGCTGTGACCTTTGAGAATGAATTGCTCCACAGTGGCTGCTTTGAGGATGCATTGCTCCATGGTGGCTGCAACTACTGACGTCAGCGTGGGCTTGTTTTAAAGTCTGTTCACTGCTTGATAAGAATAGGTAAATACTTTGTGTCCTTTAATGTCCGTAGCCTGGCCACAGGTTCACTTTAAAGTCCACTTATAACACAAATTTGGTGTGGTAAGTGAAATAATTATCTTTCCAACTGAAGCATACGCTTATGATTTTACAGGCTTTTGAAGTATACATTGTGTTCCTTGGTCACATTTTGTTGGATTAAATGTAGACACAACTGTGAGAAGAACATTTAGAAGAAGAAAGCCTTTATTATAGAGGTGGAGCCAGGCATTAAAATTAAGGCACTAGTCTACCAAAAACTGAATTTTGGTAAAAGCTGCTGAAATCAATCCCCCACTGGCTTCTTTTAACTCTTACCTCTGTAGTTTTCATCTGCACTTCCTCTGATCTGGAGACTCTCATCTTCTGCTGCTTCAGCAGGGCACTCTCACTTCTCTGGTGGCATTTTCTATCATTTAAAATAAGGAGCCATTCAATAGGGTAATCAAAACACCCCGTAGCTCAAGAGATATAGGACATTAGTGGCTGGTTCGGCTAATAGCTACCAAAAACTAAAGTGTCTTTGTTGAGTAGACCGGTACTATAGAAATGCCTGGTTAATGTTGGCTTTCTATGCTATGCGTAATTAAAGTGCTCATGTGACCTACACAGAGGCAGCCATTTTGTGGATTGAATCAATATTTCTTAGACTGTAGCCAGTCATTTTCTGCATCGTCATTAACACTGCTTCAGTCCATAAAATGTCGGACTGAAAATACTGTAAAACAAAAAAAGGAAGTACCGACGTCAAAGTTTTTGCATATGGCAGTGGCATGCCATCTTTTATTTTGTTACTGGCTGCCCTTTGCTGCGTTATAGGGAGAAGGCCATGCTATTGCATGTGGTAGGCCATGTAGCTGTTGAATATAAAAACCAAAAATATACTAATCATAATAATCCAAACCAATGATAGCTACATGCATGTTGCATGAGGCTGCTAGAACTATTTTAGGAATTGTCTGATTCTACATGCAGCTTATTAACTTTTACTTTTGTTTATAGGGTGCCAACACCGAAAACGAGCTGAGAAAAAGAAGGTTAAGTTCCTATCACGTTTCAATGGATTTTTTGGAAGATCCTATTCTGAGACAAAGGGCTTTGAGTATAGCCAGCAATCTTACCAACACAATGGAGGGTACGTTTTTTTCTTTAGCGTATATGTGCAATGCACATGTGAAGAGAAGGGGAGGGCGCAGGAGCAATCTCATGAATGTGTTAGTCTCATTCACTCTCCAATTTCAAGCTGGGGTGGATCCTAGACCAGGCTGTGCGCTGCAGTGTAGACTGCAGAGGTCCAGAACTGGCTGTGCTGCCTGGCGGGGTTGGCTAGATCACAAGACTGGCTGCGCAGATCCTTTCCCTGGCAGCACAGTTTCTTTATGTATTTCAGAAGAGTAAATTTCATTCTGGAAGAATATGTGTTGTATGTGTTGGGGTAGATCTTTACAGGGTGGAGGGAGTTTTCCATGTATAGGTAGGTAGCTAATATGGGGAACCTACAACAGTCCCAGCAATACCTTTGCATCCATTACAGCTGCAGTTTCTGGTGGGAGAGCCTATTGTGAGAGTTGATAGGATTGGCCTGGGCATTTCCCTCAACTAAGCACATTCCTATTAGTAAAGGTTGTTTCCTGTGTCTGCAATACATGCAAAGTTCAAACCTTTCCTAGGTGCCCCAGCTTATATTTTAAAAGACCTAAACAAGACCTAATTTTCATTATCATTTTTTCCTAGAAAGGTAAAGGTTGGCATTACCAGATCTAAGTCCATTGAAAAAGAACTTTTTAGTTTTTTTGTGGCCACTGGAGGAGCAGCTTCTTCTATATCTCAGAGATTTTAGCTGTAAGACCTTCTCACGGTGCCCAAATTTGCGTCTACCATTTAAAATCCAGTAAAAATTGTCTATTTCTGTGAAGTAAAATCAATTTTTTACAAAAATGACCAGGGAGAAACCCCTCCTAAAAGCTGTGGCAGTGGTGGAGCCACAACTGAAAGTGTAGAGATTTAACCACAAGGCTCCCAGAAAGAGCCATTAGCTGATGCTATGCAAAGCTGCAGAGACAAATTAAGGTCAGAATGCCTGCCCAGTTCCAGAAGACCCCATTTGCAATGTCTCAACTGGTATGGCAAACCCATTAGACACCAACTGCCTAAGTGCATCCTCCCTTGTGAAATGACAGGCAGATGAACAACTTTGGACAACTGTGCTACCACTCCTGTTTATTGCAGGGGGATGACAGTTTTAGCTGGGCCCCCCTGCCCCTTTCTGGGTTGCCTTGTAGATGATCTGGCCCTGTAAAGATTTCATATAATGTTTTGTATAATAGGACCAGCTGTGGGTCCTTGGAGCTGTTGACATAATTATACATGCACATTATGGCACACTTAGGGGGTTATTCACTATTGAGCCAAAGGATACAGCCGTAGCTTCGGTGAACCGAAGGGCTGCTGTACGGGCTATTCACAATAGCCTATACAGCACCAACAGGCGGCCGATCGGCTCAGGAGAGCCGAAATCATGTGATTCGGCTCGACTGAGCCAAAGTGACAGCCAAAGCAAAGGCCGGCCGTTAGCCCCGCAAATGACAGCTGGGCAGAGCAGCTGCGCCCAGTTGTAATGACAGTTCAGCATCCCCAAATGACCTGGGGACGCTGATCTGTCATTAAACAATAACAACTGGGCGGAGCCAGCCATGATGTCACGGCCGGCTCCACCCAGTTGTTATTCATTGGCCGGGACCTGCTAGAAGACTCTAGAAGGTGCCGGCCAATAGGAAACAGTTGGGCAGAGCTAGCTGTCACTGCTAGCTCTGCCCAATTGTTTTTCTTTTTTTAATTATTTTTTTTCTTTTTTTAAATATCATTATTTTTTCTTTTGCTATTTATTTACATTCTGAAATGTAATCCAGATGTTGGATCGGCTGAGTTGAATTCCCTCCGCACTTCAGCTCAACTAAATAAAAGAAAACTCTACTTGCTATCAAATTGTTTTATTTTAAACTTTACTTCCGCTTTAAGAATCCATTCTTCTTCATCGTCATTCTGCCTGTCTGAGATATCTGCTGATGGAAGCAGGCTGCCATGCACATGGATTAACACCTTCCAGACACAGAGTAGCTAGACTCTAAGTCTTGTAGGCATGTCAGGGCTGGACCCACATGATGCTGTCATGTACTAAAGAAGGTGTCTGAGCATCATTTCTGTATTTGATGTTAATAGTGTCTAGTGGACTCTTTAATTTTTCTTGTCTCTCCATTGAAATGTCATTATTGTGGCAGGTTTTACCATTGAATTTATCATAGTACATGTCAATCACTGTCCTTTTCAAAATTAAGTATTCCATAATTTAAACTGGAGATGCGTTATCAGGCTGCATGCGTTATCAGGCTGTTTGGAAGAATGGCAAGCCAATGAATAGTCACAGTCAGGCTTAGTCACAATGTAGCAGGCAGCTAAAGTTTAAGCTCTGGGTTCATAGAACTGGAAAAATCCAACATCTGACTAAAGATATGGGACATTTATGCTTTGTCCTCCTGTGCCCAAACACTATCAAATTTCACCCACATTGCTCATCACTAATGACAACAAATGTTAATATAGGGTGTTAATTTATGCAGCAATCTTCTTTATATAAGGGAACATGCAGTTAGATGAAGATGCATTCATAGCCCAATGTTCTAGCATAGAATATACTTTTTTGAGTTCTACTTTAAAGCACATTAGTAATTTAGAAGGTCGTCTCTGCACTTGGTTCTTCTAGAGATAAATATTTTATGTCATGTTTAAGGCCTACTCTAGTCCTTTGTGACTCCATAATAGTTGTCTGTCGCAATGGCAGCACGGGGGTATTATCACTGAACACCCCAGAACACCCCAGAACTTTATTATACATGGGAACTTATAGTTTAACCTAGCCTCTTGCACCTGCTCTTCCCTTATCTCTTCTGCAGCTCCCCAGTATTATATACAAATGAAGACTTACATATGGTTTTCCATGCCCATTAGGTCACATTGCTCTGACTTGGCATTTGGCCACTTAAATTTGGCAATGTGCAAAGCAGGGGGATTATACACCTGAGAGTACCAGGTTTTTCTCGGAAATGCATGCCAGTTGAGTGCTTTTGGTAGTAGTTGTCACTGAAGGGGGCTCTGCCGAAGGTTGGCTTTCTTGGTTTGCAGGCCATGGTGACACATTTGCTATAATTAAATGGAAGGCAAAGCCTGAAATACCACTTTCAAAATAATTTAAAACATTTGCTTCTCTTAGAAAAAGTCAAGTGACTATCTTCCCTACTCTCCTTCCACTCCAAAGCTTCTGGTGTACTTTAAAGTACCAAACAACATTTCCTCTTGGTTTTATGGGAATGGGGAAACATAGATATTCATATTCCCACCACTTTACAGTGTTACAGAGCAGTGAATTAGTGTAGTGTAACACTAAACAGTAATTCTAATTTAACAATGTTATGTTTACAGAATTAGAAGAATCTAGGCAAAAATGTCCTCCGTGCTGGAACAAATTTGCCAATACCTATCTGATATGGGATTGCTCTGACAACTGGCTGAAAATAAAGTATGCCGTCAATGTTGCGGTGATGGACCCCTTCGTTGATCTTGCGATCACCATCTGCATCGTTTTAAATACCTTGTTCATGGCAATGGAGCATTATCCTATAACTCCTGAGTTTGCTGAAGTGCTGTATGTTGGAAATCTGGTAAGTTGTCATTATTTTTTTCATGCTGCTATTATTACCATTATTGTTTTTAATACATATGTGGTGTAGATATATTTTGCTCTGCATTTTTATGAACACTTCATTGAGTAAAAAGTGATAGCATAGAGGAAATATATGGAATTATTTCCTCAAATTCTTTATATACAGACTGCTTCTTCAAATGTTGGTCGGCAAACTGCAGAGCTGAATGGAACCCAGCTGCATCAAGACTTGATTTTATTATAGTCTCCAGAAATCCCAGGACACTGTAATGTGCATTAGCTAAATATTTCTTTGTTCAAGGCCTGCAAGTAGTACGATGTTCCCCACATTGCGGCATACAGAATGTAAAAAGACACTGTCACCTTGCCCATGTAGGGTAAAGTCACATAGCTTACTACCATATACTTCCCTTAACTTCACTTCCTAGCAGCTCTTTGTCCCAGCACAGCAGGCACTGGAATTAGCAATGTCAGCAACACGAGTAAACGACAACAGTAGTCCCTCAGTTATGTGACAGTACTTGGGCCTAGCAATCTAGCAATTGGCCCAAGCACCATCGTAGGGGAGCAAGTCACATACACTTCCATACACTAAAGTGCGGCCACTGTGTGGTGTCTTTTTAAAGCAGCTATTATCAAAGGATGTAGGCTGCAATTTCTGACGTTTCCTTCAGAAACTGTAAGTTCCCTGGCTGTCATGCAGATCCATTGGTTTCAGCAGTTTGGAGTCACTAGCCCGAAATGACGAGGAATATCAAGGAATTCTGACTTTACGTGCAGCATGCTTTTTCTGGGTCAGTGACTCAGAAAATACTGAAGACTGACAGGCAACTTGTATTTTCATGTAGTGCTTACTGAGCGGTACTGACCAAATATATTTTCTATTTTCGTTTTATAAAATCGAGTAGTCTCATTTGGATAATGCTCAGCATTTCTAGCCTATGGTGCATCAAACTGTAGATTTGTTCTTAAATAAGTAACAATATAAATTGATTGGTGTTTTTTTTGTGATTGGGTAATTGCATTACATGCCACAATCCTCAGCTGGAGGAGAAAACCAATACCATTGATGTATTGGTGTAACAAGCTGCAAGGGCTGCAGTCACCATAGGCTCAGTGTTCTGTGAAGTCAGCAAATGTTCTGACTATGCAGAATGTATCCTGCTGAGCTGGCACAATGGAAGCAGTGCTAGCTTGTGTTTATTGAACGCTTTCACTTGCAGCACGTCTAACAAAGTCTCATTTGTGTTTAAATGGAGAGTCTGTGAAAGATCATAGCACTGTGCATTAATCTGACAAGCACAGGCAGGGCAGGTCACACTTGGTCAATAAAGGTGTGTTCTTATTTCATTTTTTTTGTTTGTTTTTTTAATGTACATCCAACTTTTCTGGAACTGAGCATGATAAACTACCTGTAATGTAAGCCCAGTGGCTTAGTGGTTAGCATTTCTGCCTTGCAGCACTGCAGTCCTCAGTCTGAATTCCGGCACACTATCTTTATGTTCTCCCTGTGTTTACATGGGTTTCCTCCCATACTCCAAAGAAATGTTGGGAGGTTAATTGGCTCTTGTCTAAAACGAAAATGCGTTTTGTCGATCGTCGAAATTCGGTCAGTTAGTATTGCTAACAAACGATAATTGAAATCCACATATGTCTGTGCTTGATGGGGCAGTCGTATGGAAATGATGACGGCATGATAAAAATTGAACGATAGTTGTAAGGTGTGTGGGCACCTTAAGGGAGCCTGTTTAATAGCATGGAATTGTGAGATTAACACTTTGCTCAGATGTGAATGGGCCCTAAATTGGCCCTGGTATGTGTGCATGCATGTAAGATAGGGACCTTAGGTTGTAACCTAATTGTGAGCAGGAACTGAAGTGAATATACAGTATGTAAAGCTCTTCATTAATTGTTGGCACTATATAAATCCTATAATAAAATAAAAAATAGCAATGTGCTTAAGGTAATCATAGAAACCAACTGACATTCTTTGTGACTAAATCGTCTGAATATATACTGGTTCAGGAAGCAATGGATGTGGCTTCCAGACACTAATGATACTTATTCACCTTTATATGTTCCCCACATGTCATATTATATGCCCATCTTCTCAGAACCTGAAATAGAAAAAGCAGTTTGGAATGTAAAACAGTAAACCTTCTTCATCCCATAAGAGCCTCTTGGATCGTTTGGAACTTTTTGGTTGCTAGCCTATTGTACTATTGTACCTATGTGTACCTTAGTACAAAAACATTTTTTTGCTGAATTGGGCACAAAAACTTTCATTTAAATGTATTTCTCAATAGCCACATAGGATATAATTCCACTTTTTGTGCACCAAATGCCTTTGAAACCACATATATTGCCTTGTAAATGTAGCAATGATATCATCACTGTGCTACACAACACCTATACAGAGAACAGAGCTGTGGGAGGGTGCCAGCAGGTTTTACCCATTACAGGCTGCCTGCAGAAAACTATAGGAAAGGCAGAGATGAGACCAGTCACCTTGCACAATTAGAAAGAGCAGCAGTGACTGGTTACAGGAAGCTCCTGCACAATGTTTCACAATGGATAACAATACAAATCTAGACGTCATCTAGAATAAAGAAAACACACCATCAAGAAAGAATTCACGTCTCTTTTATTTAGATAATATTTGATTATCCTGGAGTTCAGCTTTATACCACATTTATACCATATTTATCCTTAAAAACTGGAGAAGTTGTCTATGTAGCCAAACTAGGCCATGGACTAGAGTGGTAGGTCCCAAAGCTTCTTTGCTGACTTCCAGAAATGCGTGTATAATAAATATTCCTTACTGCTGCCATGTCTACTAGTGCAATCCTCCATATAATTGGGTACTTACAGATCACTCACAGTCTGTACACCTACTGAACTATTAGAAGGGTATTAGAAGAGTAATGTAAAATTTCCCCACTCTACTAGATGTTGCTCTAGGTGTACTGACACAATGTGGTCAAACTGTCTCTCAGGGGGATCACACAGGGCAGTATAAACCCAGCCATGCCTATAGAATATAACATCCATTTTCCTTTATTTCCATTACTGATAAGTGTAGCTTATTCCTCTTAACTCAGGCTATTGTGGAGAGAGAACAGTGAGTTTACTGGCTGTAGCTTCATGACAGGGGTCACCTTTACTATGTAATGTGACAAAACAAAGACTGCTTATGTAGCAGATATTGCAGCTGCCTTGTAGAAATATTGCTGTGTTCTGAGGGACTGGCATTGAAGAATGATGTAAAGGCGTGAGGATTTAGAGGAGGCTTTCCATGTGCTGTGCAGTTTTACAATCCACCACACCATTTTTTTAATCAATGTCTTTGAACAATACTTCAATTATGGTTGAATGTTGATGGGCTGAATTAAGGTCCTTACACGTGTCATGTTCTCCAGTGGTGGGTACCCTCAACTGTGTCTGGGATGTCACTGGTGGGAGATTTTACCCATCTGCTGAATGGATTTTACACAGACTAACCCTTTATTTCAGTGAATGTATTCTTAAAATAATTAGGGCTATTTCCAAAGAAAGCAGTCATGTTTTACCTTTTACTCTCTAACATGCACTAGGAAATTAAATATGGACTTAGACAGTCTTAGGCTAAGAGCAATCCCAGATGTTTAAAATCAAAAGCCTTCAGGGGTTGCTGTATATTGCACATGCCCTTCAAAAGCTGGGCACTCATGCTGCAAACTGATTGTACAATCTTCATACATTTCTTTTAATGGTACAGCTGAGGTTTAGTTGTTTTTTTGTTGTTGTTGTTTTTTTTTTTTGGGGGGGGGGGGGGGAGTGTAATGGTGCGGATCCCATTAACTGCAGGCTGCTGCTTCTTGTGAAGTCTCACATGCTCCCCCCATAATTAGAAGTGCCAGGTTTTGTCAACTGCAGAAGAGGAAGGAGGGTTGATGGAACACAGGGAAGGTAAGTATAAGAAGGTTGGATATGCTCTTTGCAGAGACACAGCCATTTTCCCCCGCATGGGCAAGGTGACAGTGTCTCTTTAAAGACAGGTCACTAATTGCAGCCTCCGTGTTTCTAATTTGACATAATCCCTTTATGAGTATATTTCTTTTTATTTGCAATTCTGTCCCTAGTGCAGGTGATTCAGCGCTAAATCACGGTCAATCATTTGACTAACTGTCATATTGGGACCATCTCTGGGGTTTTCGTGCAAGAACTAGATTGGCAAGTGTTGCTTATGCACAGGGGAATCAGAGTAGAGCTGTCAGTTATTTATTTTGGAGGAAATGCTCACAAACACAGAGAGATAATATAAACTGCACAAAAAAACAATGCACCAAGCAGGATTTCAACCCAGAAAGCAAGTATAAGCAAGCTAACCACTTAAAGTGTACCTAGCAAATTATGTTTCATGTTCAGTGCATGCAAAGTAATGAGTGAGTGTAACACTTCCAGATAATTATTATGTCTGAGATCACAGTGATCCCGCTGACAATGTTCTACTTGATATAGATCTGTCCCATGTTGCAGCCTTTCACCTTGTTTCCTGTAATTAAGTTTACATGTTGCAGTCTAATCACTAGGGTGAGGAAATGCTTTCTCCTGCCTGCAGCAGACTGATGACTTTTTCTCATCCTGGATAAGGTCACTTGACTAAAGTTCAAGGAGTGCTTTTTAGTGATAGAACTTGGAAAGATACTGAAAGGTCTTTAACCATTGCACCAAACATTGCAAATATGTGTAGCTAAGAAGAGCCATTAGTGTCTGTGTTGATGGGTTTTTGTTCATGTCAGATGGGTTTTGCATTGCCTTACAAGTGTATGCAAATGTAAAACTTGCTTGAAGCAGGTGGAAGGCTGGTAAGAAGAATTTGTCAATTAATTTTGAATGAAACTGAAGCTGCGGACATGAGCCCAAATCTCGTTGTCACAGGCCCTTACATTTATTGTTAACCCAATGCATGTGTTGTCTATATTACTACTCCTTCTTCTCAGTGTGATGGTCTACTGCTATGATGCAGCAGAAGATTTCTTTGTAACACTTTATATAATCTGTGCTGTTTTCAACATGATTTAATGTAATGAAGGAGACGCAGAATAGCTGATGGCGTTAGGTCCTGTATTGCACAATATCTTTTAGTCCATAAAAGAAAAGAAGACAGAACCTAAAATTTGGTAGAGTCACACTCTATCTAAAATTGAATACAATCACACTATATCGAAAATTGTGAACAATCCCACTGTATCTAAAATGTTGTACAAACCCACTATATACAAAATGTAATACAATCCCACTATATACAAAATGTAATACAACCCACTCTATCCAAAATGTAATACAAAGGTTTGTCTATACTTGGGTTTTAAAGTGAAGCTTCACTTTTATGGAAAAAAGCTGCAGTCTTCAGGTCTGTTTTATAGTCTGTTCCGCAGGCACTTGGACAAGTCAGTACCCTAACCTTCTACTATTGAAGATAGGTGGTTGCCTGCCATAGTCTCCTAACTGGGAAAGCAAAATACATGAGTAAACAGAAGGCCTCATTGCAAAATATTTTTTTAGTCCATTAAAGAAAAGAAGACAGAACCTAAAATTTGGTAGAGTCACACTCTATCTAAAATTGAATACAATCACACTATATCGAAAATTGTGAACAATCCCACTGTATCTAAAATGTTGTACAAACCCACTATATACAAAATGTAATACAATCCAATTCTATCCAAAATGTAATACAAAGGTTTGTCTATACTTGGGTTTTAAAGTGAAGCTTCACTTTTATGGAGAAAAGCTATGGAAAAAAGCTGCAGTCTTCAGGTCTGTTTATAGTCTGTTCTGCAGGCACTTGGACAAGTCAGTACCCTAACCTTCTACTATTGAAGATAGGTGGTTGCCTGCCATAGTCTCCTAACTGGGAAAGCAAAATACATGAGTAAACAGAAGGCCTCATTGTTGCCATGGTTGCAAGGAAGCCAGATTAAAACGTTTTTTGCCAGTTTAAGAAAATCACAGCAACCACAGATTTTAATTGAAGTCTGCTGTCAGACAGGCGCTAGAGACAAAGTGTCAGTGGCAGGATCTCTAAAAAGACTGTCTGGTTGCCTTATGGAATTCCCCTCTCTGCAGCCAAATGCAAAAGGATGTCGCTTTGTTGTGCCTGGCATGAATCTCAATCGTTAGCTTTGGGAGCGACATCTTGCTGCCTCAGCTACAGAGGGAGCGATTCCATAGGGTCAAGCAGGCAGCCTCTTAGCGATCCTGCCAATGGAGATTTCAGCAAATCAGGATCGCTTCAACAGTCACCTCTCTGACATCAGCTGAAGGGTGATTTGCAATGACATTATTACAAAATGGCTTGCATTTTTTATCTTATCCATATTTTTTTAAGTGCGTCTGTTCCCACAATTGGTTGTATTTATTGATTTTAATGACGTTTCAATACCAAATCTTACATTTCAATTAGACCGGAGTTGTTCTTTAAGCCCTTGGGTCTCATGGCTAATACTATAAACACTGAAAGAAGGTCTTTAAGTAGTTTTGAATCTGACCCAGATAACTGTCATAACTTCCCGGATTAGCCATAATCCACTACAAAGTTTTCAATTCCTCCTCTGCCAGCACAGATCCTGCACTGTGTTGTTATCCCTTTCTACCAAAGCCATAAAACATTAATAGATTGCAGTGCACTTTGTGTGCCATCTAATTAGCAGCCACACTTTGGCTGAGGTTGTCAATCGCATTGTTTATTCCCTCTTTCATGTACTTTGGAGGGGGGGATAAATTATTAAACAGATTGTCACTCCGCACAGTACCTCTGGAAAGAGCCAAATGACTGGTTTTGTGTGTTTTACGGGAATTGAGCTGCTACCTACAGCAGCTCATGTTTGTTTATTCCCTTTAAAACACAAGCTTTTGTGAACCTCTTTATGTGTTTTGTGATGATTTGTGTGGGGATAAATCAGGAAGACTGGATGTGATTGTGTGACGTCAATGCTGTATTAATAGGAACCCTCAGACATGAAATGTCCTTGCTAATGTGGACTCATGGATAAAGCGTACAGTCAATCCCTACAATTCCTGGTGTTGTCATCTTCTGACTAGCCATAAGAATTAGCATATGGAAGTGCACAGTGTGTTCTCTGATTACAGCACCTGCCAGCCGTTATATCCACCGATATTGGAGCATGAGAGGGAGGTTGCACAGCATTGAGATTGAATGTAGATTAGATGGACCTGATGACTTGTCGCACAGCAAAAAGCAAGTTTTTGTTTGTTTTCTTAAAGATTTAAAGAACTTTGGTGTCATTGGCAGCATATTGTTTTAAACTGAGAGCGGCTGAGGTCACTGAATACAAACACGTATCCTTTTACCTACTTTGCTTTTGGGGGGGTAGACAACAGGCATTCTAGAACCTGAGACCTTCACAAGCAATGTGGCTGTGGTCAGTCCCTCTCCATTCTAATAGCACATAAGGTATGCTGAGGAAAAGCAGAAGCCACATCAAGAGCTAAGCTGCTGCTGCTCTTTTATGGTCCAGTCACAGGCTAGGGGTAGAGAGGTCTACCCACCAATATATATTAACTTCAGTAGTGAAAAGTGAGGTCACCAAATGACCTCTGCTGCCTGGCGGTGGCAGTACGGAAAGTACATAAACATTTAGGTAAAGCAGCTCCCATATTTGTATTTAGCTGTTAGCCTGGGGTGGAATTCTCCTGAAAATACTGAAAATGTGAGCTCACTGAAAATACACATTAGGTTCTCTCTGAGCATGTGTACCTGATGGATCTAGTGAACCAATGTTAATTTGCAGATTTCATTTGATAACATGTTTTATGTTATTGCCTTTTCATTAGGTATTCACTGGTATTTTCACTGCAGAGATGATCTTCAAACTCATTGCACTAGACCCCTACTACTACTTCCAAGTGGGGTGGAATATATTTGACAGTATTATTGTCAGTTTGAGCTTAATGGAACTCGGTCTGTCCAACGTGGAAGGATTGTCAGTACTGAGGTCCTTTAGATTGGTGAGTATACAAATTATAATGTACACATGTTAATGGAGTGTTGGGGGTGAGAGAGAATACCAGTGGATGAACACAGTTCCTCTAGTAGGAAATTAAAAAGGATATATACCGTATTTGCCGGCCTATAAGGCGACTGGGCATATAAGACGACCCCCTCATTTTTCAGTGAAAAGGTTTTGGGCTATACTCGTCGTACAAGACGAGTATAGCCCAAACTAATGTTTAAATACACCCACTAATCTGTCAGCCCGCTGGATGTTCGGTAATACTGTATGTACGTTAGCTTCGGCGAGCGATGTATTCTATTAATGAATTCAAAGCCTGCTTGGATTGGCAGAGGTTGTGTACATCGCTCGCCATGATTGGCTCAGCGCAATATACTGTATGTAGCCGAAGCTACCGTACATACAGCATTACCGCACATCCAGCGGGCTGACAGGTTAGATTGTATACCCGGCGTATAAGACGACCCCAGATTTTCGGGGGATGTCTTTAAGTATAAAAAATTGTCTTTTACACCGGCAAATATGGTAGAAACTAATTTAGGAGCACAGTGGCTTAGTGGTTAGCACCTCTGCCTTGTAGCCCTGGAGTCACGTGATTGAATCCCAGTCCTGGAACACTATCTGCATGGAGTTGGCATCTTCTCCCTTTGCTTGTGTGGGTTTTCTCCCCCACTCCATAGGAAAGTTGGCAGGTTAATTTGCTCCTGTCTAAAGAGGCCCTAGTATATATGTGACTGGGACATTAGATTGGAAGCACCTTGAGGGCAGGGACTGATGTTAATGTACAGTATGTAATGCACTGCATAATTTGTTGGCACTATATAAATACCTTTAATACATAAATTGCAATTGAAACATGTTAGAGGGTGGAGTTCAGATGGCCTTCCTTGCATTGGACTGTTCAACTATTATGGTAGCCTTTATTTCGGAGTGTTGCTACTTTCCTCTTTTTATATTTTTGTGTCTCATGTGGAGAACAAACCACTAGAGAAGCCTGCACCCGAAGCAGGAACTGCGTCGGCGAGTGTAGCTGTACCGGAGCACTGCATTTTCTATTTATGCAAACCTTTATCGTATTATTTGTTAAACAATTTATAACTGTTTGTTTATGTGAAGGGATTGCCTGATTTGTTCATTGCATAAGCAAGCCCTGCTTCCTTCTAAACTCACTAATAAGGTTTACAAACGACAGACTGTGCAGAAAACCATGTTTTCTTTTATTTTTATTAAAACATTTTAAATTACAAAAATACAACTTACATTTTTTAAATGAAATTTAAAATTGAAATGGAAAAAAAAAAAAGCCTTAATGGAATGGAAGTCTTAATACTAACCTGTCCTGATGTCTGCACCCTCGAACTTCGCTGTAAGGAAGAATTGCCACTGCCAGAAGGTTCTTGTGCATTCTTCGACAGAAGTGTTGTAACATGGTCCCCCACTGTGCTCTTTGGCGTCATCCAGCGCCCTCCGCATTACTACAGGACCCAGTGGTAATGCAGGGGCTGGTGGATGGAACCACTGGGCATAGCAGGGGACCAGACATCCAACAAATATGGAAATGTGGGATGCAAAAGATTCTTCAGACAGCAATATCTCTTCAGTACAGCCAATATCAGAGGTGTGGGCAGTGGTACGAGTATTTATTGCCTTTTTCTCCCTGTAGCTTTTGTTTTTTTTCAGTTATGGGGATACAAAAGGCATATAAGGTCTACCTATCTACTAATATTTCAGGATACAAGCAATTAATGACACACTGTACAGATCTAGCAGTGAACCCCGATTCATCTGCAGATAAAAAGTTACCCTCAGCTGTGGAGTGATTATCTGTAAAATGTAACATTATTGTTCAGATACTCCTGCAATTTACAGTGATGCTCTCCAGAGCCTCCACCCAGCATGTCTAAGACTTGCGCACACCAAAGGTTTCTGAGACTTTTATCTATTGAAGTGATTTCTGACGGGTTTATTAAAGTTGAACCTCAGGCAGCTATAAAACACAACAATACAGTTCTGTATTCATCCATCCATCTATCCATCCATCCATCCATCATTAAATGTGTGTTTAAAGGCAAGCAGAGCAAGCACCTGAATTTGAATTGATATTAGACTCTTGTAGTCCATGAACAGCAACGCTTAGATAGGGAAAGGGAGGAGCATCACAAATAGCCAATCAGTTGTGATGCAGTGTAAAAAAAAGGACAGAGCAGAGTGGTACAGATGAGCTCATTAGTCTGCTGCCTCTACTTTCAATGTCCATTCTCAGGGTGTGGGTGGAGAGGAAACCTGTAAGTGTTACTGAACTGCAGCAGAGAAACATCATATCTCCTGCCCTGCCAGACAGTGCTGTCTAAATCTGTGAACTGGATTGACAGAAACACAAATTCTTTGGCAGATAAATCAGCTCTCTTATATGTATATTTATCTGTGTATTTAGCTGTTTGCTAAATAGCCACTTATCTTTTAAATGCTGGATTGATTTACCCACCCTTGCTCCAAAAGATTGTCCTGTATGCATGTCTAGCTTTTTTTTTTCTTTTGGTGGTGGTGGTGGGGGGGTTGATTGTTCTCCTCTCATTCCAGCTTGGCTGTCAGCCAGTTCAATTACCTAAATTGAAGGAAATCCCAGGTACACTTTAGTTAATAAAACGTATGCTTTGTAACATAATTTTGCAGTTAAGTGCCCTGACCCTTTTCCCATGGATAAAATAGAATATGAATTACATATGTGAGAGAAATGATTATCTGTAGCCTGGAAACTGACCTCTGACATTCCAGCAAAATTAGATGTTCCAAAGCTACAAAAATCACTCACAAACAGCAATACTTACTAAATGGTCAGTGTGTAAGATAATGTCATAATTAGTGAAGTGTTTCGGCTAATAAACTCTTAGCAATGAAACTATGATGCTCAGATAGACATAGCGGATTACCAGTTTGTAGTAAAAATGTTAAAACACTTGGGGGGGGTTTAGGTTTAAGAAGGTAGTAGCATTTTTGTTGAATAGTGAATTCATTCTTAGAGATCTCAACATCATATCTCAGGTGGCCATATACACCCCCTAGTTTGAGAGCCTGATGTGACACAAGAGGAGGAAAGGACCATTCATAGCTATGCTATTAGGAGAGGGAGGCATCAGGTAAAGTGTGTATCTACAATCTTTCCTATTCCTACCATCTGCCTAACATTAGCCGTGCTCCAATTGCTGCTTGGTCAGGACCCAGAAGCATTTTTGATTAGCGGTTGGACTAGGCAACAGTTGGAAGCATACACAAATATGTGATTTCCATGGTATTTACTGCCTTTTTCACAGTGATTGACTTTAGTCTATTGACTAAGCCACCAAGGGACAGGTGAAGCATGTTTATAGTGGAAGGATGAACAGAAGGACTGTGGTTGAAAAGAATGAGAGTTGGGAGCTGCATACTAATATCTATGTATCTCTAATGTTTCTCTTTTTCAGCTCCGAGTCTTCAAGTTGGCAAAATCATGGCCTACTCTCAACATGCTGATCAAGATCATCGGTAACTCTGTGGGAGCTCTGGGAAACCTGACCTTGGTGTTGGCTATCATTGTGTTTATTTTTGCTGTGGTCGGCATGCAGCTCTTTGGTAAAAGTTACAAGGAATGTGTCTGCAAAATATCACCTGACACATGTAAACTTCCACGCTGGCACATGAATGACTTCTTCCATTCCTTCTTGATTGTGTTCCGTGTACTGTGTGGAGAGTGGATCGAGACTATGTGGGACTGTATGGAGGTGGCCGGACAATCTATGTGTCTAACAGTGTTTATGATGGTGATGGTCATTGGAAATCTAGTGGTAAGTGTATTGCATTAATGATATATATATATATA